TGTTCAATTCTCTGGGTGTACATAGCTTTGGCATCCCTAATGCCCCTTTTCAGTTTAGCTCTAGCCTCTCTGTACTGTAGTTCATCACCAGAATGAAAAGCAGTATTTCTGGCTTTTAATAAAAGGCGCACTTCTCTATTTAGCCAAGGCTTGTTGTTAGAAAACACTCGTACTTGTCTTGTTGTAGCAATAACATCGATGCAGCTTTTGATATAAAACAGTGCTGTCGAGGCATAAGTATCAACATTGTCCTCCTCAAACAGTGTCCAATCAGTGCTCCTAAAGCAATCTTGAAGTTGCTCAGTTGCATCCACTGGCCACACTTGTATTTCTCTAATTGATGGTCTGATTTTTTTAACAAGGGGTCTGTACGATGGAATCAAAAACAGGGATATATGATCTGACTGTCCCGAGCTAGGCAATGGCTTCATCTTATATCCATGCATGATGTTACAATATACCTGATCCAAGGTATTTTCCCCTCTAGTGGGACAGTCCACATACTGATAAAAGTTAGGGAGGATGGTCTTTCAATTGGCTTGATTTAAATCACCTGCTACCACCAGCACTCCATCTGGGTAGGCCTGCTGCTGTTTGCTGATAGCAGTTAACAAACAACTCAAAGCTGTGGTTGTGTTAGCATCAGGAGGTATATATATTGCTGTTATTATAACAACATTAAACTCACGAGGCAGGTAAAAGGGGCGGCATTTCACTGCCAAATACTCCAAATCAGGAGAACAGTGAATGTCCATTATTTTAACATCTGTGCTCCAATTATCGTTTGTGTAAACACAAACCCCTCCACCTCTGCTCTTCCCAGATTCAATAGACCTGTCTGCTCGATGTACTCTGCGTCCTTGTAGTTCAATTACCTCCCCTGGGATGGAAGAAAATGTATTTATTCAAAAATGTACAAAGTGAAAATACCAAATGCAGTATAAGTGAGGCATATTGATAAATGGAAACTGCGTGTGCCAACACTATACCTAGTTACAACTTTAGAGAACATACCTTGGACTAGTTTTCTTAAAACCAGCTCATTGTTTCCTAACTATAATGTACTCTCATATTTCTACTTGTTTCTGTGTGTAAGCATAAACTGACAGTGCCTATTTGTTAGCAAGAAAAAAGGAACCAGCAGTTTGTTACATCACAATTTGAGCTCTTTCGCTAATAGAGTCATCACACTTCAACACAATTCAACCTTAGGTAAGCATTTATCTGTAAGCCACCTTTCAGTCACACAAGGGACTCTTAAGGTAACAAGAATGTAAGGAAATACAGAACAAAGATAGGTACAACTATTTTTAGAAAGCATACAAACCAAAGTACACCAAGTCAATGGTGAAGAACAAAATAATCTATCATGACTTTCACAGTTTAATGAAACACTGATTTATCAACACCCACTCAAGAGATCTACTTCAGAGATTTATTTGTATTTTGCAGTGGCTGAGTTACCATAGATTTTTAAAATTGAATGAGAATAATATATAAATGGCAATATGCTAGTGTAGCATACTGGTTAGAACTGGTCTATCAATTGTAGTAGTCAATTGGCTAGATGGGTGGGGTATAAATACAATAAATAAATAAATAAATAAATAAATAAATATCAACCATAAAACTTGCTGGGTAATGTTGAATAAGTCCCACTTTGTCAACCTTACCTATCACACTGGGTTACTATGAGAATACAATTGGGAAAATAGCCATGAATACCTCCTTCTTACCTCAGGAAAACCACAATACAAATGCAATTATTACCTATCTAAAACTACTGTTGTATGAGGAAGAGAATGGAAAACATGTGCAAAATAAAATAGATGATACCCAAACTAAACAAAATCTGGCTTATATTAAGCAGATTTAAAACCCAAACCAGGGTCAAAGCTTCAAAATGTTACCTTAGTATCATAAAACTAACTTCACCCCTTCTCTACAGTGCAGGAGTCTTGGGACTAAGAGCAAAGGCAAATGCTTCTGTCAGTTCAGACACTGCATCAAGTATTAGTCAGCACAAAACACCTGAAAAGCCACCTCAAACCATTGATACCAAGTTCCAATTTGCCAGCTGACAGAAACCAGTATTTGTTAATTCAGTCATCACTGCAAATCAATGGGACAATTCCTTTAACCATGGTTTGACATTTATGTCCAGTTCAGACATGAGCTATACATTAAATGTAGTTAGCTACATACATTCAAAAGTTATTTAAAATTAATCAGATAATCAAAGGCAAATGTGACATTTAAAGCACGGATTTCAAACAAATATTTAAATCAGTATAAAGACTGTGTTTTTCTGCCCTCTTTATCCATTGCCCTGATTTTTTCTCTTTAACACAGTCGCTTTGAGAAATAATTTCTGAGGCTGAGAAACATCACTGTTTCCACAAGTGTCCCATATTCTGGCAGCCACCTACTGTGACGTGACACTTTGCCTCATCAAATCAATGTATTTGTGAAAACTGGCATGAACTGCTTCTATTACATAAGCCATTACATTGGATAGCTGAAGTATATTCTGTATTTCCTCAGAAAACTCTTCTGCTCTTCCTTTTCACTCCTCTGAATGTTTATTCTTTTTTTAAAAAAAACAAACACCCACCCACTTAATTGTTAATAAACTAAGCAATACCATAGATACATGGAATTCAGAAAGCTTTCCCTCTGATATTGACAAGCAATTTAATACAAGCTCATTATTTCACACAGCATCTATAGCACTTCATTTTTACATGTGCACAGTGACAAACACTGAAATTTGAAAACAAGATCATCCAAATCTGTATATTTACATTACACTTCCTACATTTAACAAGCCAAAACAGAATTTAGAGCAGAAAAATACAAGAGCAGAAAAACCAAAATAGTCTTGTCGCATAATAAACACAGTTTCATGGCTACTGTTATATTACAATTATAGGTGGGAGGGAGTTCCTTTTTCCAGGTGTGTCATCAAATTTTGCGGCCATTTCACAAGGGACTTATCTATGTAACAACATGGCCTTGCTGGCTATATAACTGACGACCCTCTTACAGCAGGTATCTGTCCTGATCAAAAACTCACAACATTTCCTACTAGTTTAAACTGTCAAAGACTTTTTTACCACTGAGAGAAATAACCTAAATTATCCATAAATAATACTGAACTTTACTCTCTGCTTAAGCCTGTGTCACTTTGATCTCCGTATGTTGTAAAGACAAGGTGGCACAGCCCTACACATACAAGTGAGATGTAATACTTCAAAATACCCATGCATAGAAAATAGAAGTTATATAAAATATAATTATTAATCCAACTTCACTTACTTCAAAAATGCTTACAACTTGTATATATACAACTAATTTATCACTAACAAAATTCAACAGTACTGTATAACCCAAACACATTTTTCAGCTGCCCACTGCTTTTATAATTGTTACCAAACTTCCAAGAATGAGTATAGCCAGCTTTATAAAAACAAATCCCCTGGATTTAGACTTCATACATCACAGTATACCATTAAAAAAAAACATGATTTTAGTCAACATCTATGCTAAAAAACTAACTGAGCTACTACATTACTTACTCTCTTTCTTGGTTACTACACTTACCAACTACAGTGGTTAATTAGGCAGGCATATCTAAATATATCTTGAAGAAATTTGAGAAAATTTTCATTTTTAAAAGACCAAATGAAAGAAAAACTGCTTGAAAAAGGAGCACATAAATGGAGAATTGCTCGAACAATTACCAACAGAAAGACGCTTCCATGTATCTCTATTCCCTTCTCTCCCCAGTTCTTGAAAGCTGTGGCCTTTATGGATATAACATTTATGCTAGAAGAGAAAGGGGGACATGAAAAAGCATGCCCCATTTCCCTGGAATGTTTTAAGTATTGACATCCGCCATTTTCTGAGCAGAGGAGGAAGACATATTGGAACAAAACACAAAAGAGAGCAGCCATTTCCACTGGCTCATCCCAATCCTCAGAGTAGCCAACTACCCTTACTACTTCAGGAAATGCAATCTCTTCAACAAGAAATTTAGTTTCCCTAACATGAGGAAGGGCAATTACAGCTGGCTGGGAAATATTTTCAAGATTTCTTTTCCAGACACAATTTACTGCAACTCTCAAGAAAGCTTACAACAATTTTAGTACAAAGGGAAAAAAAACTAATTATTGGGCGGGGGGGGGAGATAACAGGTGTTCTGCCACTCCAGGACTATGATTCTTACCGTATGTGAGGGATGCCAACTCCCCCTTGCAGAATCTTGTAGAGTTTGCTTTCATATAACAGCTGGGGATGCCTGGCCTTCTGCGACTCTAACTTCACAGCCACTTCCTGCAGTGGAGAGGGGATATGGGTCAGATACTCTACTGTAGAAGCAAACTATCCACATCTCTCAGATTTAGAAGGAGAGTCTACCGTGAGAGATTATCCTCTGAATTAAGTAAGTGCCGTGAACACACAGTGCTGGGATAATATTTGAGTAAATATCCATTTTAGGGAATAATACCACCAGGATTCTAATGATAATCCATCACTCTAAGAAGATCGTGAACTGGAATAGCTTTCTGTACCTCTCTGAAAAGCCACATGAAAAGCTTAAATAGGGCCTTTTTGCAGAAAGTCAAAATAAATATTAAATAGGGTCTTTTTTTAAAAAAAAACTTTTTTTGCTCACCTATCACTAAGAGCTATGAATGTTGTTTACTACAAACGCTAGTACAAGTCCTGAAGAATAAAGATCTTCTGGGATGGGGTATCATTTTCAAAATTTGTACTCAAAAGCACTGCAGTCTCATCACCGCAAAGCCACGTAAGAACATGCTGTTTTAGCTTTAATCTCCCCTGCCAGCCGAATACACTCGCACCCTAAAAATGATTATCAAAAACTTCCCGGGGTATTAGTAAAGGAAAATCATCCAGCATCAAATTATGTGGAGTCCATAACTAAACTGTCCAGATACCCAACTTATACAGTACTGAGGGGACACAGAGACGACAAATAAAATAAATACAGAGACCAACCCTACGAAGATGATTGGGGGGGGGGTGTTGGAGATATTTCTGGTGCTTGTCTAAAGTGATGGCTGGCCGGGTCCGGGGAAGGGATGAAAACGACCTCTATTTACGGACGCAGCAATGAGCGTGGCAGGAGAGTACGTGCCTCCAGCCCTTACCTCCCCGTTGGTGATATTGATCGCCAAGTATATATCCCCGAAGGAACCTGAGCCGATCTTCCGCACCAGTTTGTATTTGGACCCGACGACGAACTCGGCCTTGGAGCCACTGCTGCTTGCCATGGCGAATGAAGGGTGGGGGGGAAGGGGGTTATTCCCACGCCGAGTGTCCGCTGAGTTTTTCCTCAAGGAGCTCTCGCTCCGTCGCTTCCAGATAGCTGGGGGGGGGGGGAGTAAAGGGGAACGGAAAGGGCGGGAGGACTCCGGTCCCTGCGGCTCCGTTCACACCAGGCCTCTATAGAAGGTGGACGCCCCAGACGCTTTCCCGGTTGCCAGTGCACTTTGTTCCCTCTTAGGAAAGGTAGTCCTCGTGGTTGGGAAGAGAGGGAAAAGTCCAAGCGGATCCAGCCGCCGCCAGCAACTGGCGCCTCACTCGGCGGCCGCCGCCATCTTGTCTGCCTCCCTCACTCTCTTTTTCGCTACTGATATCCAGGACACAAAATGCCTCCAGCCCGCGACCGACGCTTCTTCACAGCGCAAAGCACTCTGGGAAACAGAGGCGACGAGGGCCGCCCTGCGCATGCGTTTCCCAGAGGGAGGAAAAGAGGACAAGCAGGAAGTGTGCGTGATCTTAACGCCTCGGCAAGGGCGAGGCCAGTTCAAAGGATACGCGTGTGCAAAAAAGGCAGTTGGGGCGTTTCTCTCGAGCAGCTCCGCCCTTCGATACCGAACACGCCTGGAAGGATCCGCCTTCCATCGTTCTGTATTCGCGAACATGATCATTAAGTACATGGTTCAAAGGGCGAGAGTGAAAGCTGCCTGGCCTGAGCGAAAGACCTCTTTAGGCCTTTTAAAAACGGCAAAGATCTAGGAATACTGTAGCTTGAGAAGAGATAGTCGTGGGTTGGCATGTCAGGCAAAGACAAAACAAAAATGAAAATACTGTATAAAAGAAGACAAAAATTTTATGGCACCTTAAAGACTAGCAGCTATATTTTAACATTAGCTTTCGCGGACAAAGTGTCTAAAGAAGTGGACTCGCCCATGAAACCTCACAGTAAAATATAGCAACCTTTAAGGTGCCATAATGTTTTTGTCTTCTTTTTTTTCCTTTCATTTTCCTTTTGTTTTTGCCTGACAGAGATACAGGAGGTTCTGCAGCTTGTCTTCTCCCAGTAAGATAGAATGGCCAACTCAAGTTATTATATTCATACATTAAATCAGCTCTAGCTGCAAAAAAAAAATGCCACTTCCAAATAAGAACAGAAGTAGTCCAGAGACTGGAAAACTACACGCCTCCCACAGTAAAGGGTCTTCAGAAGCTGTGATAAAGGAAGTGGATTTTTAATCCACTGTGTTTCCAGTAGCTACTCTTTTTTTGTTAGAAGTATTTTCCTGCATCTTGTGTCAAATACAAATTATGATCTTTGTGTCATGTCTCTGATAAAAAGGAGTGAAAAATACCTTGGATGAGGAGCTAGTGCATGGAAATGTTTGATGTGATTTGGCAAAAAGCCACCCAATGCTCTTTTTAAAATATTTTCTTACAGGTTTCCTAAAAGTGTTGCAGCTCTGTGTTAGGTACCAATCTAGGCATAACAATCCCACCAACTCAGAGTCAGAGGAGAATCATGGCTGAGCCAAAGCCACAAGGTTGGAAGGGTAGGGAAACATCAGTTTCTTTGCTAATTTCTTTCTGTTTTGGCTTCATTTTTCACTTATCACTTCCAAACTTTGGTAGTGGGGGGGGGCAAGGTGTCGCTTCTTGGATAATCCATTTCTGATTCCCACAGTGCAGTCTGAGGTTAGTAAAACACTGAGGATTTCTTTTGCCACATCAGAGAACCCTCTGTTCTTAGAGAGCAAGGTCAGAAGCAGCTCTCTAAGAGAGCAAAAGAGTATTCCTTAAATTATTGTCATAGTTTCTGGCATGGTTTTGAAATCCTATACGTTAATTCAAAGGAATATACCATCCATTGCACAATAGCACCTCTTACTAAGCCCAAAATTTTAACCATTTACAATTACATTCTTTAAAAGTTTTCGTATGTGTATAAAGTTACTTTTATATAACACTGCATGAAATGGGATTGTGAAATTAATGTTGGATGGCATGTTTGTTATTATTTACATTTAGCGTTATTGGTATATTGCCTTTCAACAGAAAATTGCCATATAAGTTGACATAGTAAAACTGGGCAGTAACTAAAGTATCCCAAAAATCTTAATTCTAAAACTTCCATTATAGTTACTGCTGCATTTCTTCTGAACAAGGTTTTCCTTTTAGATACTACAGAGCACAGGCAAATCAATGTACATTTGAGTTCTCTTCTATCTGTCAAAAGCAGTACATAAAGACTTCAAATACATGTGTAGTTGTGTAAGAATATGGTTCCGGCTATGTCACGAATGTTCACTGAAGCATGAGAGTGGTAAATCAATCCTTGAACATTTCAAATACTTTGAAAATTGTATTATGGATACCATAAGTCAGAAGCAACTTGATGTAACATAACATACTCATCCAAATATAAAGTGTTAATTGGGATGATATCGAGGTTGTTGTTTTGTCTTTTTAAGATGCAAATGTCTCTGACCTGGAAAATAAAAAAATGTTCCAGAACCTCAAAAGCTAACTCCTTGTTCCTTATTCAGCACAGGGATGCATTAGCACCATAAACTAACAATTGAAGTGTTCACACCCCTATAGTCCCAAACAGCTTTTGGGCTGCTGCATTCCATATACAGTACTTCTAGACCGGTCCTTAGGAAGGATGGGATATGCTTTGGTACCCATGGAAGATGACAAGGAGAAAGAGTTGTGTGAAAATGAAGTGAAGAGGATGCTAGAAAGAAAGTAATAATAAATCTGTAGTCTATTTTGTGCAGCTAAGCATGCTTAAATCTTTTGAGTTGAATTGTTATAGGCATGTCTGAGTCTACCCAGGATCAAGAACCAAGTTTTTACATTGCAGATACTATTAAGAGTGTTTTCTTTGGAAGGAAAGAGCTAGTAAAAAGATACAAACAGAAGAACAGGTAGTAGCTTTTACTCGACCATTAGGAATATAAAACAAGGAAAAAAAGCTTTTGATGATAAATCTTCTTCAAGGCTATGTTCTCATGGGTGATTCCAAACGTATGTGCTGTTCTTAATGTCCAAAATTCACATGGCTGATGGTGTAAAAGGCTGAGTTTGCTTCTTAGATGGAGATGGTGCATTAAGCAAGTTGTTTTCAAGCTCCTTCTCAGCTAGCAGTTTGGAATTTATGGCCCAGTAACTTGATGCACAGCCTTGAAGATGATGTTTTATCATTGAAAGCTCACAGTTTTTTGTTTTCTGGTTTTTTTTTAATATATATTTTTAATGTTCTATTGAATGTATCACCTGTTCCTGTATTTGTATCATTTCCACAACCATGTGGCCATTTCCTGAATTTTACTAGTAAAAATATGAGATTTTAAAAAATATTATAATATTTATTTATAATATGCAGGCCAAGGCAAAGAGGCAGTCATGAAAGCAGCAAAATCAGGGAGCTGGACAGGGTACAGATTGTATTTGTCTTCAGGGTGGAAGGGATTGTCACTCTCGAATTGACCTTCTCAGCCACATTAGACGCTGTTCGAAGTCCTCCATATAGAGCACATTACTATAGTCTCTCGAGACTGAAGGATGCCTAATCTATAATATGTACAGACATAACAAAGGGATACTGATATTTCTATCCAGCTAACTTGGATAGCTCAGTGAATTAGGCATCTGGCTCTGGAATCATAGGTTTGCAGTTCAATTCCACATTGTTTCACACTTGTCCTGGGAGAAAGGCTAGCTATTTTGAGCCTTAGGAAATCTGCACAGTCACAAAGCACTCCCAGAAGGTAGGTACAAACTATGTCTAGAAAACCCTGGAAGGGTTTGCCATAAATTGGAATTGATTTGAAGCACATACAGTGGTGCCTTGCTTAGCAATCGCTCCGCTGAGTGATGAAATCGCTTAGCGATGGGGTTTTGGCCATCGCCAGAGCGATCGCTTAGTGATGGCCCCTATGGGGAAAAATCGCTTTGCGATGATCGTGGGGAAGTGATCATCGCAAAGCCCCCATTTTCGGCCAGCTGATTAGTGGTTCCAAAATGGCCGGTGGAAAACAAAATGGCTGCCTGCTGTGTTGCCTTGCTTTAGAGGCACCGAAAATGGTTGCCGCAATGGAGGATCTTCGCATAAGGTTAGTTTTAAAGCCCATAGGAACTATGGGCTTTTAAAAATCGCTTAGCGACAAAATCCCTTAGCGATGTTTTTTCCTGCACAGATTAACGTCACTAAGCGAAGCACCACTGCATTTGTAATTTTTAATTGAATAGCTTGATTTTAAATCAATTCAAAGGGCAATCCAATAGGACAGGCACTGGTTTATAAAATTAGCTCACACATTTTGCAGTAAGGCATCTGTCGTTCAGTGGGAATGTCTAGACCAGTGATGGTGAACCTATGGCACGCATGCTACAGCTGGCATGCGGAGCCCTTTCTGCCGGCACGTGAGCCGTAAGTCGCCAGACCGCTTCCCCCCCCCCCCCGTGCAGCTAAACCTGAGAAGGCAGCTGCAGCCGCAGTGCTGGCACTTCAGCAGGCGAATCTGGAGCAGCTGGCGCTAGCAGTGGATCTGGAGTGGGGTCTCGAGGCACCTCCGTGCCGGGATTCCCCCTTCCGCTGCCATTTCTGGTTCCTACGCCACCATGGCACCCCGCCCACTGGTGTTTTTTTTCATCCCCAGTTTGGGCATGCAAGCCCAAAAAGGTTTGCCACCACTGGTCTAGACAAAAAATATATACATTTCCTTTATCAGTTCATAAAATTATCTGTTCATAATCACATCCCTTTCTATAATAAGGATTTTTTATACAGTATTTCAGCAGCCTCTTTTCCTCTAATTCAATATGAATCTTGAATAAACATAAACACCTGGGTTTCATAGTTCTGTCAGCTTCCAGTTCCGCTTCTCTTTCTTACAACACAAGCAGAGCACAGGAAGCATCTGCCTAGTGAAGCAAGCAACACATGATTGTACAATACACAGCAAACAATAAACACAAGCAGTATTTTGAATAAATGGCAAAATCTTAAATTCAATTCAAAACGTTAGGCCTGCAACCTATGGCCAAACAAAATGTCTAGTTTTGATCTTAAGGATGGGAGATATGTTTAACAATCTTCTGACTTGTCCCCCTTCTTTTCTTTCAAAAGAAAAGCAGCAAGAGGAGGTCACAGCTTTGAACAGAGGAACACTGAAGCAGAATCTTTTCAGTATTTGTCTAGTGCTTTTGTGTGTGTTTTCTGTGGGGGTCCTCCCCTTATTTTGGTGGAAATCACTCTCCAGTGCTTACCAGTCTGTGGGTAAAACATGCATTTACCATTGTCTCTTAAGTGGAAAATACGTTGGAGGAGCTTCTAAGCAGAAAAACAGCAGAGGAGGACATATTTCCATGTTCACCTTTTCTCCAATCCTTGATAAAGATTCATACAACTTGTTTTAAAAACTATTTTGAAAAAGACAAGGACATTGATTTAGAACCCCATGTGACTCATAGATTGGTCCTTACTGAAATTGCAGGCAGGCATCTAGAAGAAGATACAG